TGTTTCTGGTATTTGTGAACGACATGACGGAAGGAATAGACTCTGAGGTGTCCCTGTTTGCAGATGACGTGAAGTTGATGAGAAGAATTCACTCGATCGAAGACCAGGCAGAACTACAAAGGGATCTGGACAGGCTGCAGACCTGGTCCAGCAATTGGCTCCTGGAGTTCAATCCCACCAAGTGCAAAGTCATGAAGATTGGGGAAGGGCAAAGAAGGCCCCAGACGGAGTACAGTCTAGGGGGCCAGAGACTACAAACCTCATTCAAGGAAAAAGATCTTGGGGTGAGTATAACACCAGGCACATCTCCTGAAGCGCACATCAACCAAATAACTGCTGCAGCATATGGGCGCCTAGCAAACCTCAGAACAGCATTCCGACATCTTAATAAGGAATCATTCAGGACCCTGTACACCGTGTACGTTAGGCCCATATTGGAGTATGCGGCACCAGTTTGGAACCCACACCTAGCCAAGCACGTGAAGAAACTAGAGAAAGTGCAAAGGTTTGCAACAAGACTAGTCCCAGAGCTAAGAGGTATGTCCTACAAGGAGAGGTTAAGGGAAATCAACCTGACGACACTGGAGGACAGGAGAGATAGGGGGGACATGATAACGACATACAAAATACTGAGAGGAATTGACAAGGTGGACAAAGACAGGATGTTCCAGAGATTGGACACAGTAACAAGGGGACACAGTTGGAAGCTGAAGACACAGATGAATCACAGGGATGTTAGGAAGTATTTCTCCAGCCACAGAGTAGTCAGTAAGTGGAATAGTTTGGGAAGCGATGTAGTGGAGGCAGGATCCATACATAGCTTTAAGCAGAGGTATGATAAAGCTCACGGCTCAGGGAGAGTGACCTAGTAGCGATCAGTGAAGAGGCGGGGCCAGGAGCTCGGACTCGACCCCCACAACCTCAACTAGGTGAGTACAGGAGCATGGACTCGACACCTGCAATCTCAACTAGGTGAGTGCACATACACACTCACACACACACACACACACACACACACACACACACACACACACACACACACACACACACACACACACACACACACACAAACACAAACAAAACACAAACACACACAAACACACACAAACACACACACACACACACACACCACACACACTCACACACACACACACACACACAAACACACACACAAATGCACACACACACACACACACACACACACACTCACACACACACACACCACACACACACAAAACACACACACACACACACACACACACAAAACACATACTCACGCACACATGGTAATGCTTTATTTACAGCTAGCAAAGTCAGGGTATTTCTCCAGAATGGTCTGTAATATACCACTGTGGATAAAATACTTTGCCATTTCTTGAACACTTCTGAATGAGTTTTCTAAATGCATTAATTTTATCACACTCCATCACATAGTGACGCAGGGTGTGACAATAGTCCATCTGGCAAAGTTTACATTTCGTTTGGTCTACATCTGGTGGTGGTGATTTAACCTGCCAAAGATACTTGTAACCCAGCCGGAGCCGGGCGGTAGTGACATCCAAGAGTCTGCTTATTTTGTTGGATGCACCATAGACATGTGGCTCCTCCTGCATGATAGAATAATGATAGATGGACTCACTGGTGTCAGTCTCCCTGAGTCTTAAGGCAATAAAATTCAGTTGAAGTTTTTTATTATTAATTATTAACACACTGGCCGATTCCCACCAAGGCAGGGTGGCCCGAAAAAGAAAAACTTTCACCATCATTCACTCCATCACTGTCATCACTGTCTTGCCAGTGATGACAAGCCAAGATTGTAATCTACTCCCTCTTTGAAAGCATACATTTTTGTACCTCTGTATGTTCAAATTATTAAATAAATAAATAAATAAATAAATACAGCATACCCAGTTTATCAGTTCTATCATGCATCTGAAGACCAATGTGAGATGGAATCCACAGCATGTGCACTCTGACTCCACTGTCCATAATCTTACCATACCTATGTCTGGCTTCTGACACAAGCATGCCACAATTTATGTTTAATGAGTTGAGAGCATTTATGGATGACAGAGAATCAGTTACAATTAAACTGTCAATCTCAGATACATAGATGCATTTCAGTGCAAGGAGTATGGCAAACAGTTCTGTCTGAAGGGTAGAGGCCCAATTATTAATGCGTGCTCCAATTTCTTTAAGAGAATCATCACTCTGTACGACAACAGCAACACTACCAGCTGCACCAGTGGATTGGTGAACAGAGCCATCAACGTAAATAATTTGCGAGAGTGTGTGCTGTGTGACTAAGTTATCAGTACAGCTTAAGGCATCATGTTTAGCTTCAAGGCAAAGTTTTGGTTGTGATTTAAGAAGTAGTTTGGGGGGAAATGGAGGAATGGTAGTTTGGAATGGGGTAATATTCCATGGAGCGGAGAAGTGCCGCTGTTGCCTTACTTGACATAGATCATGTATCTGATTCATACGGAGGTCTGTTCCAGTTTTTCCGATCCATCTGGAGGAGTGTTCACCAGTGCTGAGGAAAGTTTGGAGGGCTTCGGTGCAGGGGTTTGAATGGGCTTGCCTGAGCATATTAACCCCAATTAGGATATTTCTTTCAGTAACATGATCTCTGATGCTTGGAATATCAAGTTCTTTTTGCATATTTAAAATTTTGGCAGTACAAGGGCATCTTAAAATGATCCTCATTGCTTCGTTCTGCAGTTTTCCAGCCCTGCAAGCTTTCAGTCAGACACAAGAGCAAGTAGTGGCGCAGCATAATCAACCAATGATCTAATATAAGCAAGATACATCATTTTCACAATTTTAACATTAGCACCATACCTGGGGTGAAACCCAGCCACAACTCTAAGTGCTCTTAGTCTTTCTTTGTATTGGTGACAAAGTCTTGTTACAACAGGTCCAAGTAGTGGAACCTCAAAGCCTAGATACCTGTATCTGCTTAAATATTCTAGAAGAGACCCATCATGCAATTGGATCTGACGAACTGTCCCTCTCTGTCGAGGAGGACGCCTATTGAGTATCTTTGTTTTATCAGTAGAGATTATCACCCCCAGGTCCTGACACGAGGCTAGTACATGATTAAGAATGTTTTGGGTGTTGGAGAATCCGGTGGTGTGAATCATTATATCATCAACAAAATTAATCACATAATGATGGGGCTGACTAGGCATAGTATTAATAATGCATTAATTAGAATATTGAACAGTGTGGGACTGAGCACACCTCCCTGTGGGGTTCCTAATTCAAAGTCTTTAGTTACACTTCTATGTCCCTGGAACAACACAGACGATTTTCTGTTGTACATCATGTTGGTGTTTCTTATCAATGGATTTCAGAATGCTGCTGGTTAGCCATGGGCAACCAAGCCGTTTATTCATGATCTGTTTCTTTTTTATAGTACAATGTTTGTTGTATAGTCTAAGTAATTTGATATTGAAGTCTCCAGCTAAGAGAAGGTGGTGCTTGTTCATTTGTCTGCTTGTTATTAGTGCCTTTAATTTCTCAATTCTTCTTCTTCTGTTGGGGTTTCAGGGCCACTGACAGCATACGCCGTATCGAGCCCGGCCGTCCAGTGCTAGGAGAGGGAATATCGACCAAAGTGGAACAATGTCTTGACTAATATCATATGTCTCTGATATGTCCTGAAACCAGTGGGCGAAACCCCTCCCCGTTGAGGAGGACAGGTAGAGTGAAAGTATGTACCCCAAGTGTGCGCAAGGCCACATGGAGAGTAGTCCATGCAAAGTGATAACGTGGGCACCACAGCAGGAAGCGTTCCACTGTCTCAGGCTGTGAGGGTCACCACTGGCAGTACGGAGAGTCTGTCATCTGAAGGCGATATAGATGAGCTGCCAGTCGCGAGTGCCCGACTCGAAGGCGAGTCAATACAACGTCCACCGAGCGGTTGGGATGGTGACCCCAAGGGCAGGGGCCATTAAAAGTTCGGACAGAGCCCAACACCGATGAAGAGAAGGAGTGTGCAAGGCCCTCTTGCCACTGATGACGAATTCCCTTCCAGACAGCCCTTGTGAAATCACTGTGGCCCAGGGCAAGAGGGGTGACAGTAGGAAGTGTGTGCATGAGGGAGGCCCCCCGATCTGCCACTTCATTGCCCCAGATTCCAACATGGGCAGGAACCCACTGAAGGGAGATGCTCCAACCTGGGCTCCGCAAGAAGCGCAGGAGGAGAGATTGTGTCTGATAAACGAGGACGAGCAGTGATCATGGACGGGCAGAGCACAAAAGTGCCAGGGAAGATTGGGAATCAGTGAAGAGGACCAGTGGTTGTGGGGGAATGTGATCTAGGACAAAAGCCAGAGCCTGGTGAATGGCGAAATTTGGGATGTTTAGAATGTTAGTGTGGGGTATCCGGAAATGGCACGGATTGTTATAGGCGTCTTAAGGTTTCTTACAGTAAAATTAGCAAAAATGTATTCCCCATATTCATCACTAAAGCAAGTGGTGCTAATACAAAATAATTGGTTAGAGTAATAGATTGCAGTACCACCCCTAACTTGGTATGGTCTGCAGTTGTGGATTGCTGTGTATCCTGGTAGAGGGTAGATATCTATTGTGTCCTGCTTAAGCCAGGTCTCAGTAGGAATAATGCAGGAGAATGGTGTTTTTAGCAACTCAAGGAGTGCAATTGTGCAGTTGCAATTGTGCTCCCACAAGGTACTAAGTGGTCCCAGATTTTTTTAATACTGTGCACACTGAGTGCACAGACCCATTCTTTCAGATCAAGGCAACTTGAGCCTATTACACCAAATTTAAAGGAATGAAAAATAAAATGTAGATCTACATTCAGAGCATTACACGTACAAACATAGATCTACATTTGGTCAGTTTAAGGGTTAAGTGACAATTTTATTTAGTGAAACCATGTGACAATAGAGAAAAAAAATCTTTTTTTTTAGTTGAGTATGTTGTGTTGGTAAATGTAGAATATTATACTATACTGACTTATGTTTCTATTGCAGAAGTATTTTGTGGAAGACTACCAGGTTGTGTCTTGCCAGACACTATATCTTCAGTACTTCAAGAAGCACCAGTGTAAGTGTCTTGAACAACAACTGATATTACAGAAGTATTTTGTGGAAGACTACCAGGTTGTATCTTGCCAGACACTATATCTTCAGTACTTCAAAAAAGGCAACAGCTGTTCTTGTAAATTTTTAACTAGCTATTACTAATTAAATAATTATGCTTTTGCATGGCAGTTAATTCTTTGAGGGTCTGTTTTCTAGTTCTATGACTTTTAAGCCAGGGCCTAAGTTGTAGTACTACATCATGAGCTCAGCTTACTCAGATAAGCTGTGAGCAGTAAATTTGGGCCTATATATGAGAGAATGCATCTATGTGGTAAGTGTGAACCATATAAAACAAATCTTGCTGCACACAGTGCATAATGAGAAGAAAAAAAACTGCAACTATGTTTTTGGATTAAAACATCAAATTTTCAATGTATTTTCATATGTTTTTTTAGTAGCATTCACTGTTTCTTGGTGTCATTTGAAAGAATAGAAGATGTATTACAGAAATTATTTTGATGGATTTTAGTACTGAAAATAGCTTGAAATTGAGTTCAGAATAGTAGAAATGTTCTATTTTTGCCTATGTTAGTGGGTAAACAAATCACATCACGTGTCCAATACACGTCAGCTGGCGGGTCTGATGTGTGTTGCTGAACACACTGATATTATTTACACAATTATTACAATAATGCATAAAAATCTTCTATTTTTTGGTGTGATTAAAAAATCAAAATGAAATTCATCTGTAAAGCCTTGAAATGTAACTAATAAATAGACAAAATGTTAGTTTAGTGCCAGGAATGCCTGCTTTGATTATTTTGGACTCTATTTTGAAATTGGAATATTTTGAACTTTGTGTGAAATTGGCCAAATTACCAATTTCCAATCACTTTATTGGGAAGTTGAAATAGTTGATCTGGGTAATTTTATGTGCTCAGTAGATAAAATGGAACACATACTAGAAAACAGCTAAGAATTTGGTCTAGTGGAATAATTTAATTGGCCAAAAACAGGATTCAAAGTGGACAAAATTGCCAATGTATAAATATCTCTGACACAGCAAAATTCACTTTTTATTTTATTACCTTCAGAAAAAGATTCTCTACAATTTCATGAGAAAAAATAATATTTTTTAGATCTTGTGGGGAATTTTCAGATTTGGGGTCTGAACCCTCAAAGGGTTAATAAAAGAATACAAGTTAGTAATTTCGTAATTAAAAATTTTCAGAAAAATCTGTTTAAACACAAGAGCAAACAACAATAATAATAATGTTGAGTGTATCTGCAAATTTCTTTTAACACAAAACAAAAATTATGATAGTGTTTTAACACAATGTAAACTTTATTAGTGTTTTGCCTAAATAAATCTTAACATTGGAATATGTTCATAAGGAAGACCAGGTGTTTAGTGTCCAAAATAGTTAAAAAAAAAAATCTTGAAATAGACATGTGAGTATATAAGGAAGATTAACTATACCACTGTTGTGTGACTAAAATTTTTTAGATGAAATACCTTCATTTAAAAAATATGGAAAAACGTAAAGAACATAAACCATATCAATGTTCAGAGTGTCTGAAATATTTTAGTGCAAAATGCAGTCTTGTGAAACATATGAGAGTACATACGGGAAATAAACCATATCAGTGTTCAGAGTGTCTGAAATGTTTTAATCAAAAAGACAATCTTGTGACACATACGAGAGTACATACAGGAGATAAACCATATCAATGTTCTGAGTGTCTGAAATGTTTTAGTCACAAAAGCAGTCTTGTGTCACATATGAGAGTACATACAGGAGATAAACCATATCAATGTTTTGAGTGTCTGAAATGTTATAGTGGAAAAATAAATCTTGTGACACATATGAGATTACATACAGGAGATAAACCATATCAATGTTCTGAGTGTCTGAAATGTTTTAATCAAAAAGGCAATCTTGTGACACATACGAGAGTACATACAGGAGATAAACCATATCAATGTTCTGAGTGTCTGAAATGTTTTAGTCACAAAAGCAGTCTTGTGTCACATATGAGAGTACATACAGGAGATAAACCATATCAATGTTCTGAGTGTCTGAAATGTTTTAGTATAAAAAGCAGTCTTGTGAAACATATAAGAGTACATACAGGAGATAAACCATATCAATGTTCTGAGTGTCTGAAATGTTTTGGTGAAAAAAGCAGTCTTACAAAGCATACAAGAGTACATACAGGAGATAAGCCATATCAATGTTCTGAGTGTCTGAAATGTTTTAGTAAAAAAAGCAGTCTTGTGCCACATATGAGAGTACATACAGGAGATAAACCATATCAATGTTCTGAGTGTCTGAAATGTTTTAGTCAAAAGAGCAGTCTTGCGAAGCATACGAGAGTACATACAGGAGATAAGCCATATCAATGTTCTGAGTGTCTGAAATGTTTTAGTAAAAAATGCAGTCTTGTGACACACACACGAGTACATTCAGGAGATAAAACATGTTAGTGTTTAATGTTTCAGAAATATTTTAGTTATAAATTCATCAGAATATATAAAAGGGATATACCATAACAGTGTTCAGAATGAAATATGTTAATGAAATGTCAGTCATATAAATCTTATAAGTTCATAGAGGAGATAAGTTGTATTAATGTTCAGAATCTCTTATATATTTTATAAAAAGAGCAGTCTTGTGTATTCATGAAAGCTAATATAGAGTATCAATCAATCAATCAAGTTTATTCTCTATAAGGATTACAGTGCGGGGTTTACAGATTTTGAATATTGTGCAGGTTACATGTTTTAAAATAATTACAGAGACGCCACTAGGACACCTAGCATGGCTAGGCATTTCGGGCAGACTTAGATTAATTCTTAACTTTAAATTATTACAGATTATGGTATTAAGGCTAAGTGACTACATTATAGTTTGTGAGTTTAGCAGTGTGAATGCTTTTGTTTTGGCACAATACATAGTGTCTATATTGGAGTATCATAGGCAAACTTATGACTAGTTAGGATTCATTATTTTAAGATTAAGATTCGTATTTCTGTGTTAATAGTCAATGGGTGAGTGAGTGTAAGTGTGAACCACCAGGTGGTTTTCATGTAGTTAGTTGACGGGGTGTATCAGGGAGATAAGATGTTTTCTAACTGTAGTTTTGAAAGTGATGAATGTGTTTGCAGTTCTAGAGTTTTCAGGTAGGGTGTTCCAGATTTTAAGCCTTTTGACACACATTGAATTTTTGTAAAGGTTTAGTCGGACACGGGAAATGTCATAGAGATGTTTGTGTCTGGTGTTAGGCCTGTGGATCCTGTCACGACTATCAAGAAAGCGTTTTAGGTCAAGGTTAATGTTGGAATTTAAGGGAGGGGCGAGCATAATCACCAATTTTTTTTTTTTTGATGATATTTCAATGGGATTTTGACAGTGGATTAATCAGCTTAAAAAAATGTATAGGCTTTGTTTGTTTTGACTGTTAGCCTTGAAGTTAGATAGAAAAAAAATATTTTTGCACAATTTTATGGGTCCTAGGGCTTTCCAATTTTTACTAAATTGGGAAGATGTACAATGCTCTAGTTGACATCAGATGAAAGATGAAGGCTGGGTTAATAATGACCCAGAGCATTTTAGAGATATTGTCAGTAGATTCCATAAAAAAATGTTGAAATTAGTTTTTTTTCTTTTGATGTTTTTTTAGAGGAGGAAAAAATCATTAACAAAAAGCTGTTCACAATATGGCAAATCTTCTCTGGGTGTTTGTAGAACCATCATTCCTCAATAATGTCTGTAAAAATTATAACAATCCAATGAATATGTAATGAAAAAAATAGATTAGAATGTCAATAACCTATTACTGAGTTTTTTTTTATTTTAGTGTGTGTGAAACTCTTGGGAAGTCGCGTGCCACCGTTCAGCGTGCTACATCCCTCCTATCTTCTCTACAGCCTACCGGCTACTGACGGGCTTACTGTCTGCTCTCCTCACACTAGCCAGCACACAAGTTGCCATGTAGAGTATTTACAATGAAATAATCATAAAAATCGTAATTTTGAGAGAAAAAAAAAAACTAATTGCCAATGGGTATTTTGGCTGACAGCAGAACAAAAAAAAAATACATTTAATGAAAAACATGCTTAGAAATATGATAGAAACAAGCTGATTACATCAAAATGTTGCCAGAATTTTGCACTATTTTTCAGTAAGAAAACATTTTTTCCATAATTTTTCAATTTTAATATCTTGTTCACTGGAAAAAGGCTCACCCCTCCCTGCACAGTAGTAAGTGTGGATGTTCTGAACAGGGAGTAAGTTTAGATCTATGAAGAGTGGGGGGTGTGTTGCCAGGGATGGGATTTAGCGATTATTCTTACTGCGGCTTTTTGTTGGGTTATTATTGGCTTTAGGTGTTGCTGCAGTTGATCCGCAAGAACAAATAGCATAGGTGAGGCAGGGATAAATGAGTGAATGGTATAGTGTGAGAAGGGCAGTTTGCGGCATGTAATATTGTATCTTGGAGAGGATCCCCACCATTTTGGATACTTTTTTTGTTATGTGTTGGATATTGGTGCTGAAGTTTACGTTGTTGTCGAGGTATAAACCTATTAATTTGCCCTCATTATGTCTGGCAATTAGAGTGTTGTTGATCTTAATGTTAAGTTGTGCAACACCTGCTCTGCTACCAAACATAATGTATTAGGTTTTGTCAGTTTTAAGTGTAAGTTTATTGGCTGTCATCCAAGTCAGAATTTTGAGCAGCTCCTCATTGACAATGGTGTTGAGGGTAGCAAGATTAGGGTGGGAGATGATGTAAGTCATGTCGTCAGCAAAGAGAATGGGTTTCAGGTGTTGGGATACGTTTGGAAGATCATTAATGTAAATGAGGAAGAGCAGGGGACCAAGGACACTTCCCTGCGGAACTCCAGTATTAAGTGGCCGTGTTGATGAGGCTGTGTCTTTAACCCTTTGAGGGTCGACAGGCCCTCTCCGAAACTCGTTCTCAGGGTCGGCCAAATTTAAAAAAAAAAAAAAATTATTTTCTCTTATGAAAAGATAGAGAATCTTTTCCCGATCATAAAGACACCAAAAGTTTGAAATTTGATAGAAAACTTACGGAATTATGCTCTCGCAAAGTTAGCGGTCTCGGCGATGTTTACGCATCGGCGATTTTGCCCACTTTGAGCCCCATTTTCGGCCAATTTCACTGTTCTAGTCGACAAAAAACATGAATATTTCGCTAGAACTCCATTTTTTCTATCGAATGGGTGCAAGAAACCACCCATTTATAAATTCAACTATCCAGTACAGTGGTCAGAATTTAGCAATTTTGCCAATTTCACACAAATTTCAAAAGATGCCAATTTCCGAATAGGGTCCAGAATAAACAAGAAAGACATTCCTGGCACTAAAATGACATTTCCTCTAGTCATTAGTCACGTCTCAAGGCCCCTCTTATATTCTTTTGCTTTCCACTTTGAATTTTTATTCTCACAAAAAATATAAGATTTACTGTTATGCAGACTACTGCATTAGTGTAAAAAATGGTATAAATATTATTGGTGCACTTGTAAAAGAATATTAGACTCACCAGTTGGCGTGTATTGCACGCTTGGCACGATTTGTTTACTTTTGAAGTTTGGTAAAAATCGAACATTTCTGCTACTTTGAGCTCAATTTCAAGGCACCTTTCATTGTAAAACCAGTCAAAATCATCTCAATTTCTGTAATATGTCTTCCATTCTATAAAATGAGACCAAGAAAACTAGAATACAACAATAAATACCATACGAAAATACACTGCAAAGTCGCTGATTTATTAAAAAAAATGGTCAAAGTTTTTTTTTTTCTCATTATGCACTGTGTGCTGCAGGATTTTTTTTAGACTGTGCACACTGACCACATAGACCCATTCTTTCATATGAAGGCCTACCAGCTTTCTCCCACTAGATTTGAGGCCGCTAGAATTTATGAGTACTAGTACGTCAAAAACCCCTACGCGTAAAACGTACTAGTACAACCAAAACCCTCAAAGGGTTAATGGTGACATACTGATACCTATTAGTAAGGTAGGATTTGAAATATGCAAGAGCATGGCCTGTTATACCATAATGGTCAAGTTTGTGGAGTAGGATGCCGTGGTCTACTGTGTCAAACGCTTTTCTTAAGTCAGTAAAAATTCCTAGCGGATATTCCTTATTTTCCACTGCTGTGTAAAGCAGATCTAGCATTTTTACAATTGCATCATTAGTGCTTTTATTTTTCCTGAATCCAAATTGGCAGGGGTTTAGTATGTCTTGCGCCATTATAAATGAATATAGTCTCCTGTGCACGAGTTTCTCGAAGATTTTTGGATAGCAATGGTAAGTTTGATATTGGCTTATAGTTGTTTACATCTGTAGGGTCACCACCTTTATGTATTGGTGTAACCCTTGCTGTCTTGAGTAGCATCAGGAAAGTGCTAGTTTCTAGTGACTTGTTAAAAAGTTATGTAATAGCATGCGAAAGGACATGGGCCGCTCGTTTGTACAATAATGGCGGGACGTGAGACAGATTCCCTGAGTTATTTTTGAGTGACTTTATAATTACGATGACTTCTGTGGGCTCAGTTGGTACAAGATAGAAGGAATTTGGAAAATTCCCTTCTAGGTAGTTCCTGGCACGGGCGTTGGTATGTGGGATTTTACTGGCGAGATTAGATCCTATGTTTGAGAAGAAGTCGTTTATCTTGTTAGCTGTATCAGTGGGATGCAGTGGTGTTTCATTAGGTTTAGTTAGGACAATATTCTTGTTTTTTTTTTTTTCAGTTTGTTGGTTCCCAGAATCTGGGAAAGTGCTTTCCAGGTCTTTTTTATATATCTTCTTTTGTCAGTGAATCTGCTGGAGTAGTACAGTTGTTTGGCTTTCTTTATTAATTTGGTGAGAACTGATGAATATTGTAAGGTCAAGTCTGTAATCTGCTTACTGCAGTAGTCAAGCATTCTCCAGTGAAATATTCAGTGAACAACAGTAGTGAAATATTCAGTGAACAACACTAGTGAAATATTCAGTAAACAACACTAGTGAAATATTCAGTGAACAACACTAATGAAATATTCTGCAAGGGATTGGTAGCTTTAAGAAAAGCCAATAAATGAACTGTACTAAGCTACTTATGACAGCTCAGTGTCCTGCATCTGCCTCTAGAACATTCTATGGAGCCATCAGTGTTACCACCCTTGGGCTGTGGGAATTAAATACTGTAATTGTAAAAACATAATTGCCCCAAAGGAGCATTATATCAACATTTCATTTTAATACTGAAATGATGATTTCTTACTTTTTTGGGCTCAATGGCCCTTCAGTGATGGGTTAATAATGGCAATTCCAGATAAGGCATGGACTAGCTATTTGCTCTGCAGCTGACCTAACTAGGTTCATATTGTGACCTCTGAATGGGTCACAATGTGTGTAATGTATACAGTGGACCCCTGCCTTACGATGGCATCGCATTATGTTAAATCCGCCATACGATACATTTTAACGCAAAAATTTTGCCTCGCCTCATGCGATTCATCCGGGACCCATCACACGCATGGCCTCATCTACCCGTGTGTGCCTGTGCTTACAAGCCAGCAAGTGTGGTCGCATCCATGCATATATTCAGTATATTTCATATTATCACAGTGTTTTTAGTGATTGTAGCTGCAAAATAGGTCACCATGAGCCCCAAGAAAGCTCCTAGTGCCAACCCTGCGAGAAAAAGGGTGAAAATTACTATAGAAATGAAGAAAAAGATAATTGCTAAGTAAGAAAGTGGAGTGCATGTCTCAGAGCTGGCCAGGTTGTATACCAAACCCCAATCAACCATCGCTACTATCATGGCCAACAAAACGGCAATCAAGGAAGCTATTCTTGCAAAAGGTGCAAGTTTATTTTCGAAACAGAGATTGCAAGTGATAGAAGATGTTGAGAGACTGTTATTGGTGTGGATAAACGAAAAACAGATACCAGGAGATAGCATCTCTCAAGCAATCATATGTGAAAAGGCTAGGAAGTTGCATGAGGATTTAATTAGAAAAATGCCTACAACTAGTGGTGATGTGAGTGAATTTAAGGCCAACAAAGATTGGTTTGAGAGATTTAAGAATCATAGTGGCATACATAGTGTGATAAGGCATGGTGAGGCTGCCAGTTCGGACCAAACAGCAGTTGAAAGATATGTGAAGGAATTCAAGGATTACATAGACAGTGAAGAATTGCAACCTGAAGAAGTGTTTAATTGCAACGAAACAGGCCTGTTTTGGAAGAAAATGCCAAGCAGGACCTACATTACTCAGGAGGAAAAGGCACTCCCAGAATATAAGCCTATGAAAGACAGGCTTACTCTTCTGATGTGTGCTAATGCTAGTGGTGATTGCAAAGTGAAGCCTTGATTGGTGTGTCACTCTGAAACTCCCAGAGTGTTCAGGGAAAACAATGTCGTCAAGGCTAATTTGTGTGTGATGTTGAGGGCAGACAGGAAGGCATGTGTCACTAGGGACCTTTTCTATAACTGGTTACACCATGCATTTGCCTCCACTGTGAAAAATTACCTAATGAAAAAGAAATTGGACCTGGTCACAGACCGGGCCGTGGGGGCGTTGACCCCCGGAACTCTCTCCAGGTAAGTGCCTCCTGGTATTAGACAATGCTCCTGGTCATCCTTCAGACTTGGCAGAGCGACTTTCTAGGGACATGAGCTTCATTAATGTCAAGTTTTTGCCTCCTAATACCACTCCTCTCCTGCAGCCCATGGACCAGCAGGTCATTTCAAACTTCGAAAAACTCT